GGTTAACGAATAGGCCGTTCCACCTTGTTCTGTCACTGATTGGTGGGACAACCTCGGCCAATCAACATGGCACTGGGCGACACGACAATTGCATGACACTAGTATTCCTTTACAAGTCCTTTTTGCTGCCGTTAGATTATTACATCATTGGGATATCCATACACGAGCCCCTTATCTGCAGTGGAACTCCGCACAGATAAACCGAGCAACTGGGTCAGCATCGTTTCTCACATCACTTCACAGAATTGTCTACTCCAAAAAAGTCCATCATCCTCTTATCGGACAAGTCGGTGTGCTCACAATTTTGGTCTCTTAATTGCCCCGGAGTAAACCTCGGAGGAGAGGGGCTTGGTGGTAAGGTACAAAATAACTGTTACACGGGTCATCTAAGCCCTCTTTCTATCAACTTCCAGTCGTGTTATCTTCAGTCTAAATGGCTCTGGACGTGTGATGAGGCCCTTGGCAAGTCCTCTGAAAAGGGTTCGATAAGACTCGTCTCCTTTGATGCCCGTCTGGTGGGACGTCTCTCGGATCAAATCCAAGCGCGGAACTTTGTCATGAAGAATCCTACAGCTGGAGTAGCCCACAGTGCTCCGGCGCCTTCAGCTTGCATAGGCTTGAGTCTGTCGCATGACCAGCCATCGCCTCCGTCTAGCTTCGGACAACAGCCTCAATCACCTGGAGCCAAAGGTACAGAGGAAAATCGAGCCAATTCAAGAGAACTGCAACTAGAGCAGATGAAGGGTGAGGTTGCCACTGTGTGCTCAAGAGCGACGTCTGTCATGAGGACGAGCATGGGTTTGGCTGGCCTTCAGGTCAGTTTAAAGAATGCCTTGATCGGACTTCTGCCCAATCAGAGAGACTCACACGTCACCCTCCCGGTTGCTGGAAGCGACGTTGGCAATGGTGAAATGACGGAAAAAACAAGTGAAAATGGCAAAGACAGTCGTACCGGAGTGCAGTGGCACAACCAAAGGGCTGATCAATCGACTTTTGATTCGGAATGCGGACATAAACAGGTGGTCTGCAGCCGGGGTACTACTCTCTCGCGTTGGGAGGTGCCGAAAATGTACATTCCAAGCAGGCATAGTAAGTTTACAATTTGTAGCATTCATGATATCCTGTCGAATGAACGCCTTAAAGCAAAAGATTCGATGGCCAATTCCCTTTGGAACCAAGACCAGGGTTGAATCTAGCACTGTTGCCACAATACAGAGACCCCGTTGAGCTATGGCGATTCACGAAGAGTAAACTATGTGAACACCTTCGTTTGGGATCAGACACGCCCTAATACTTAGTTCTAACTAAGACACAAGTCGTAATATTGGCCTGAAGACTTAGAGGAACTCACCTAGTCCGGAGTCCATTGTATGCACGATAATTTCCAGTCTGACAGTTGACGTGGTACATTCCCAGACGTTTCATCGGCATCGTCAGTGAGTCTTGTCATTCCTAGCACCACACTACAACTCATCAAAGAGACAAGTGAAGCCGATCCTTTGATTAAATATGTGCTAAACAGTTGTGGTATCTCTCTTTCTATCCTGGGCTATTCAACTCTCCTATATCCTCTAAGTCTTCCTACCAATATGACCAAGTTGCGAAACAAGGTCAAACAACTTCTATACAACGAAAGGAGACTGCGATCACATAAAAAGTCCACGTCATCTAGGCCATTATACCTTCTTTTCAGGGAATGATTCTCTCTACAGTTGTTAAGCTGAATCAGCGACTCTACAGCCAATACAGGACACTCAATTGCCTAGTCAGAAACACAACGTTTTGAGGGTTACGGGGGCTTCATGTTAAAGCGTAAGATTAGGGAGTCTATAGAACGTCCTGAATAGAAGGAACGAATGTAGAAAACTAAGTAGGAACTATTTGTGGCTGTTGGATAGACTCAAGGAAAGGGAGAGAAGGGGGTGCAGGAAGAGCCCCTGAGCAACAGGAGGCTGTATTAGCCTTGTGTCTAGCTATGACTCTGATACTACTCATGACATGAGCATTACATACACACAAAAGACAATAGGCCAAGCCCAAATAGGATTCAGCATTAGGCGATCGTACTCTAGTTTTTGTGTGTGATGAAACAGCTGCCACCGAAGGCATTTCCGATTCGGGAAGTTAACTTCCCTCATGTGCAAGCATGTAGAGTAAGCTTGAAGTAGCCAACCAAGTCAAGGAGGGCCTCATTAAGATCGCGATGTTGTGTGTATAAAAAAGCGACTAGGGTTGCAGCCGGCCACCTATTCTCTTCCTTTAGTATATTTTTGCTCTATTTCATAAAGTATGGATTCTCGCTCTGATGATGTCTGTCACGTTGGTACAGACGAAAGCTTAGCACAGTTTCATCGGAGTCGCAAGACGGTGTGCCGAGGACTTCTTCGCACAATCAAACAGTCTTCCTTACGCGACAATCCTCCTTCGGTTTCCGGTGAGATCACCTCACGAATTCCTTCCAACCAACTTTCCCTTCGAAATTGAGAGTCCCGCCACAATAAGTTGATTAAGTCGGTTTTGAAGTAGAATAATATTTCCCTATCGGCTAATCAGAGTCTCGGAGCAGGTTTGGCTCAGATTATTTGTTGAGCTCACTCCCATTCGAAGGTCGATACCACCCTAAGTCAACGGCAGATTCCACTTGGCCAACTGTCGATTGGCTTTACTAGCTTTTTTACTTCTTCGATTCAGATAAAAAAATGCTAAGCGAACTTCTGTCCATCATGTGACAGAAACCCCAAGAGCAGGGTATCATTATTCCAGTCATATTCAAGCTAGCTCGTCAAGAAAAATCACCGACTTACCCCCAAATGCTGTATATATACCCTATATCTAAGCTTAATGAAGAAGTATAAAGTGATTTATTTAGCTCAAGATATATGTGACCCCCGAAACATGTGAATGTGTCTGCCCGTGCATATTTACGTTCCTTCGTGTGCTCGTTATGTGCAAAACCACTAGTGATAGCTCAAACTAATTGAGACAGAAAAGTGACGTTTGGTCTTGGCCGTCAAAGTTTTATTAAAATCACCTCCATATATAAATATTAATATAAATATTAATATATATACATGGTAAATTCACACTGTCCACGGTCCGACAGGAAATTATCATGCATACAATGGACTCTGGAATAGGTTCGTTCCTCTAAGTTTTCCTGCCAATATGACAAAGGTGCGAAAGCAAGGTCAGATAACTTTCATACAAGAATTACTAGTTGATTCGCCTCCTATTTTCAGGCATTACCGGCATTATTTACATACAATGTATTACCTAGTCCGTTGATTTTGATGGCCTCTTTAATGTTGCCCTTGGCTGCAGACATAAAAGAATCTGCAAAACGAAAAATTTGAGAACATTAAACCCCATGTCTAGTTTATGACGTATGTTCCGCTAGCTCTGATTTTTTAACTCAGCCTATACAAGCACTTTTGAGCTCAACTACCCAACAAGTTTCTCCAACATAAAAGTGACCAAACAAACACATTATTTTATAGCAAGCGAATCTGGATAATGGGCCAACATTCGCTCTAAAAGTAGGAATAGCTGAAGAAAGTGTCATAGCTTCATTGAAAGCCGTTTTTATCCACCAAGAGTTTACAATATAAACCTTCGCTTTGTAACTGTGGTTGGAGAATAAATTAAGGATAAAGCCAGCGTGTGTTAGCTTCCTAGATATATCCCTGCTTAACTTATGTCCTGCCCTCATCACGAAAGCATCCAAAAGTGGTAAATTATTATCCTTCTCTATCTCCATTGTTAACTTAACATTCCAATCACTCTGGTTAATTAGGAGCAAAAAATAATCTAATATATACTTACAATGCTGAACTATTGCCAAATAGTCATCCATATATTTAAATAACAGTTCTGGTGTCAGTCTTACCTCTTCCCTCAAACATTCCTCCATTCTTGGCAGTTAATAATTCGCTAAGAGGGGGGCCAAACCAGATTGCATTGCCAGCTCTTTCACATGTACATAAAACTTATCACTTAACGTAAAGTAAGTGTTACTGATAGATAGATTAAGTAGTCTTAAGATTGAGCTTCTGCTCAGATTTGCTCCCTCTACAGTATCTGGGTGTTTAGTTAGGCTGAGTGCTTGTGCTTCAATGGCCTCCTGAACTGGGACGATAGCGTACATTTATGCCACATCGAAACCCATCGAAAGATGAGTTTTATGACGGCATTTGGGGATAGGCCTGCGAGTTTTCTTGACTCATTAGCCTGATATGGTCGCAAGAATAATACCGTGTCCTGATGATGTTCGTCATATTAGGGATGAAAGCTTAGTACGCTTGCATCGGAAGCGAAGGAGATTGCCTCCTAAATATCGTCAACAAGATTTTTCCAGTAAAGTCACCACACAACTGGCCAAGAGGAATCCGCCGTCGTCTTCCGGTGGGATTGACCTTGGAATCTCTTCACAGACACTCACTCGAATTGAAGTGAGCTCAACAATTATAAACCAAGGTAGTCATCGTAGCCATACTCTTCTTCACAGCATTATTTGTACAGAATATTTGGTATCTCTGACATCATTTTATTGGTCTCAAGAGTGCGTTTTTACCCAAGACCTTATCTGCGTTGACAAATGGACTCGACACCAGGTTATACAGACCCAGGGGCCGATTACACCACTAGGCTACAGGAGGAATGACATTCAAGGGCGCTTCTCAACTCTTGCTCAATGGGAAAATGAGCACTTACTAGAAGAATCGGTCCTACTAATTTAGAACGGATGGCTTTTACTTAAGGTATCGGTAAAACCCTTTTCGGGGACATGACACAAGGGAATACAATGGCGAAAGCTAAGTATCCCTACATTTTGTCTTTGGAAGCTCCGCTATATGCCTCCCAGCATCCAGTGAAACTCCCTCTTGTGTTGAGAATCGCCGAAAGTTTAAGCTCTTATCCCTTATGAACTCTATTTTAAGGATAAGCTCATACAGTGTTGTAATTGAGTGTTCTAATCTTTTCTAATATAAAACTATCCTATTGTCCTCTGCTGTTCTTTGTTAAGTGGTCCTACAAATCACATTCAAAAAGCACTTACGGCCCTAAATACAATTTTAAATTTATTTGGTTGGTTATTAAAAAAATGTTACTATCCAAAATTCATTTACGCGGATGAATAAACTAGACGCTATTCTGAAGGTCTTATTTACTGGCCTGATAACGATTAGTGTTTTATTAGTAAATTAGACTATTTATTC